TGACTTCAATGTATCAATTAGATGGCGGACGCAAACATCTGGAGCATAGCAGTATACAGATGAGTGCATACCGAATGCCCAGGACGAGGACAGAGCACATTTTATGTGAGCGATGCTCACACTTGCCCAGTGTCCCCCAGTGGCTCTGCCTAGCAGCATGCTTCCCACTGTGAGCATGCTGCTCACACACAGCACTGCTCTTGCAAGAGATGCACTATGGGGAGCCTGGGTGGCTCAGTCGGTTAAGCATCCAACTTCAGCTCAGGTCATGATCTCATGGTTCGTGGGTTCAAGCCCCGCATCGGGCTCTGTGCTGACAGCTCAGAGCCTAGAGCCTGTTTCAGATTCTGTGTCTCCCTCTCTCTCTGACCCTCCCCTGCTCACGCTGTCTCTCTCTCAGAAATAAATAAAACATTAAAAAAAGTAAAAAAGAGAGAGAGAGAGATGCACTAGTGCCCTTACCTTCCAGAAGAAGACACAGAAGTCCACCCTGTCATAGACTGTAAGCCAGAAGGCTGGAGCCCTGCTCCTGAGTAAATACCATCCACATTGTCTGCCTAGAACAAGAATGAAGATACAGAATATCAGCCTCCTTGAAATCCAAGTCCTTCATTTAATTGATGAGAAAAAGAGGAAGCCCTTGGCTCAGGTTTTCAGACAATTTCAGAAGTGAGACCGAGGCTCAGATCTCTGGACTTCGAGGACAGTCCCCCTTGCTGCTGAACCAGACAGTCCACAAAGTGGGTGCACGTCCTATGGAGTCAGGAGGCTTCTCCTCGCGGTCCAGCCGGGAGAGCCGCGGAAATGGCAGTAGGGAGTCTCTCCATGGGGTAAAATACAGACACGAAGAGTGTTGAGGGACAAAGATTCGACATTTTTATTGGAAAGTGAGAATTTTCAGAGATAATTATGTGTACGACACTCTGAATAAGTTCTACATCTTAACACGTGGAAGATGGGGAGGGAGAAAAGTTGTTTCCAGGGCACATGATGTCACTCTCTCCCTCTCTCTCTCTCTCTTTAATCTTCTTCCTTTGTCCAGTGTCTGCAACTGAGGTCTCCTCCTTATACTCCCTCGTATCCCTGGGTCCCCTCCACCCCCGTGTTTTGAAGGAAATGACCTGAAGTAACTTCTGTGGGGAAAAAACAATAAATCACTACAGAGCTAAGGGAAAAGACTTTCAATCCCAGTGTTCCAAGTTAAATCTAGAAGGTGCTTAACTCTGACAACTTAAATTACAGAGAAATATAGTATTTAATTGAGGTTCATGATTTGTTAAGCACACAGAGACAAAGTTAATTGCCTTGCTTCCAATAAGGACTTTTAATGTAATTACCCTTTGAGTTGGTAAAGAGTCCAATAACCAAGTGTCTGTGGCTATCCGACACTCATCTTCGACCACCTGGACACAATCACTGACGCAATAATATAACTTTACAGGTGAAAGCTTTCTCTTTCAATTAAGGGATGTTAACCTAAGACATTCTGACGGTGAACAAAAAAATGTCAACAGTAAATTCTTTTAACATTGTACAATATTGGCAATAAATCGCTGAGACTTTTCAGGTCCAAAAGATCACTTGTAATACCAGCCTTAGGATGATTTCTCCAACAAAGAAAAGATCCTGACTGATGAAAAATGACAAATAGTAACAATGAAATCTGATAATGTGGTTCCTAAAACTCGGGGGTCAGTTTTCCTCATGGGTCTATGTTCACAGACATCCTAAAATCTATTAAACAATGTAGGAAAGTGGAGCACGGGCAAACTTGCATGGGAAGCTGCTGGCAAAATAGCCTAATAAAGAAAAGACAATAGTTAATTTATTTCTACATTAAATATATATTATAATTATGTGTTGATATATTTATATTGATATATACTAATATATCAATATTTATATATTATTTATGTTATAATGAAGCTCCCCATAAAATACATAAAATAATGTATGCACATGAGATAATGATACTATGACTTATATCAAAGAATAGAGGAAGAACCACATTCATTACTTTGAATGCATATAAAAATGTACAGTATTTTTCAACTACCAAGTTAGTAAACATTTTTTTTTTAAATGTAAAACTCAATGTTGTCAAATGTGCTATGGTCAAGATATTCTTTTTTTAAAATTTTTTAATGTTTATTTATTTTTGAGAGAGAAGGAGAGACAGAGTGTGAGCAGGGGAGGGGCAGAAAGAGGGGGAGACACAGAATCTGAAGCAGGTTCCAGGCCCTGAGCTGTCAGCACAGAGCCCGACGTGGGGCTCAAACCCACAAACTTTGAGATCATGACCTGAGCCGAAGTCGGACGCTTAACCGACTGAGCCACCCAGGCGCCCCTTTGGTCAAGATACTCTAAAATAAGCTGCTGAGGTAAACTCAGACAGTTTTTCTAAAAATCAGTTTATGACTGCAGATTAAGAGCCTTAAGTAGAGAATATCAGTTCTAGCAACATATTCCACAAAAGTGGTCAGAATTTGCTGATGTGGTCCCAAGGTGTTTGGTGTTATAAACAATTGTAAGAAGTGAGAAAAAGCTAATGTCTGATTGTGAAGAAACTAAATATGTGGAAAGCATTTTTTTCAAAACTATTCAAATAGCTCAATAAATCTAACTTAAAAATAAACTATTAAATGACAATGAAAATGCTCAAAGAAATCATAAAAGCAGAATAAGAATGTATTTATACTTTCGTTTGTATTCTGTAAATATCATATGTGCCTTTACCTCTATGATCCTATTAATTTATATGCGCAATGCACATAGGATTGGAAATAAATACATAAATAATAATAATGGTGGTCATCTTTTGACGATTTTTTCAGTCACTTTTGTTTTCTTTCTGATATTTTTAGGTTTTCCCAATTTCCTTGCCATGCCCACATACTACTCAGTCATAAATAAAAATGTTCTCTCTACAGAGAAGGAAAACAAAATCAATGCTGTGTGACTCGGTGCATATCTTTCGTTAGAAAAAAATCAATGTTAACAGACATTTGAGTTTAAGTAACTAACCTATGAGTTTATCAAAGCATTTCTTTGGTAATTATCAGGAGCAAATCACATTCTGACTTTGGAAATTTAATGTTGTAAGAAGACGCTAGTATACAAAGACAATAAAACCTTGCTCTGCGAGCATAATTTGTTTTGGAAACATCCTTGTAACCCAAAGCACTTATGTATCAAAGTGAATTCCCCCATAATAAATAGTGGAACTCAGAAGATTTGTTCCACAACCCAAAAATATTCATATAAAAGCAATAACGCTGTACTATAATACAAAATGATTAAAAATACAAAACATAAAGAAGAATAAATTACAGTGTACTTCGCAAACCTTCACGGCTGGCGCGAGGCCGAGAGGACGGCCGCGGGCCCGACGGCGGCACCAGGCTGAGGGCCGGCACCGAGGCGGCGCGCGGTGCCCGTACGTGGGCAGCAGGCGGCCTCACGCGCAGGCAGCGCCACCCCGAAGGCAGCGAAGCCTTCCGAGACCCCCTCTTGCGTGGAAACGCAAAGGTCTGTCCACAGGTGCTCTGGAGTGACACAAACGCACTAGTGCCAGTTGTGGGCACCTTACAACGCTCTGAACAATCCCCGATTCCTGCCCACGCGGGGGGGACCTCTGGCTCACTTGTGGCCGTGGGACACTGGGCATCACATACTACTCCTGGTGCAAGACCTCGCTGATTTGTCGAGTCCCGCTGACGACAGTCTCGGGGTGCGGGGCGGGCTGCTCAGGGGGCTTGGCTGCAGGACAGGGCCCCGGGAAGGGGGGACAAGGGGCGGCCTGCGGGGCCTTGGGGGCAGGTCCCCTCTGCCGGCGGGCCGAGCCCACCGCGTGCGGGACTGAGGCGGAGAAGTGACCGGGAGACGCAGGGACGGGGAGCCGCGGCCCACGGCTGTGGTCAGACTCAGGGCAGGGGGAGTGGGGCTGCGGCGTCGCCCCCTACGCAGCTGCGCTTCCCCCTCGGGTCCCGACGGGCAGCGCGCGGGGCGGGAAGCAGAGGCCCCGCCCCCGACGCGGCGTCAGAGCAGCCGCAAGCCCCGCCCCCGCCGCGCGCCTCTGCACCTGTGTCTTCCGCTCGACGCCTCACGCGCCGACGCCCTTTATCGGGTCTCCGCGGCTGCGGGAGGGGGGTGAGTGCGCGGCTGGGGAGGGTGAGGCTTAGGGGGCGGGGGACCTGGGGGGGGGAGGCGGGGGGGGCGGGCGCCGCCG